CTTGCTGCTGTTTTCTATTAATTATATCTTTTACTTCATTAGTTTCAACTGAAATTCTTACCTTATCAGTACTTTTTCCTCTTTGATACAGGTTTTCTTTACTTATACTTGTGTTATGTTCAAATGCATCTGGATTGCAGCTTATGGCTCTAAGCTTTTTTGCCCAATTGTCGATTACTTCTTCTTTAAGCCAACTTATTTCCACTAATCTTAAGGCATCCAATACCTGACCGTATATTAGCAAGTCATGTAGCATAATATGTTTCGGGTCGTAGATTGCTAATTCCTTTGCAATGCACTCTATGTTGCTTGGTCCTTTTGTTGGTGTCCTAAGAACTTGGTCCAATAATTTGCAATCTACATATCTACGATTTCTATCTTCTATTCCTCTGATGTAATCTATAACATCTACGTTATGTACTTTAGCCATTGGTTTATATTTCTTATTATAGTTTGGTTTCCTCTTTTGTATACTCTGTATATATTTTGCTATACTATTTGGTACACATGTTTCCCTATTTGCTTTATTTGTTTTGTTTCGTGTTCGTGTAACCTAAGTGATCTGCATGACAAGGTCATAGTTATTCCCCAAAATTTTCTAAAAATTAAACTTTTTGTCGAAACTTTTTGCTTTTCGTTTCTATACTATATTGCCAAAACTTTAGTTCCTGTTTTTGTCTTTGGTTATATGTAGCTTTTGCTGCTCTATCTTTTTTGCTATAAGTTAAGGTGTTGTTTTTTAGTGTGTTTTTATGTTATTTCTTATTTTGCTTCTTGATGATTTTTGGTCGAGGGATCTGCAGGAGAGAGTTCTATGTTTTTTGTTTATCTTTTTTTTTAATTTTTTTTAATTTTTTAATTATCTTTATTATTTGTACTATTATATATTTATATAAGTTGAAAAAATTTAATTATTTCAATAATTCTAGTCTAATTAAATATTTTATTTTATTTTTATTATTAATAGCCTGTACTTTATAGCAGTATTTTATTAACATATTTAGAATTATTTTATACAATTATTTTTTACAAAAATAAGATTACAATTAGTCATATATGCAACTTTTAGTTGTTTATTTAAGTAGTCTATTCTAAAGTATCATACTAAATACTATATTTATAATTTACTAAAAGATAATTCATTTAAATTTTTTGATCATTTGTCTTATTAATTATATTATTGTTACAAATCTTTTATATAGATTTAACTAGTATATTGTTTAAATATACTTATTTTTTTTATATTAGTATTTAGACTATTATATATTTCAGAGTATAATACCTAACAATAAAACTAGTAATATGTTATTTATATAATATTCAGATTTTTAGCATATAGTATATATAGTACATATAATGCATATAGTGATACCATCAAACTGGCATCAGCATTTTGATCACTTTTTAAATGGATAGTTGTGTAACCTATAAATAGCTTAGTTGAAAAGAGGCAGTTAGATTTGGTAAGTGGTATGTTTATGATTTTAGGTTTTACAAAGTAGCAAAAGTCAGAGAATTATAAGAGTCAAACTTCATTACAAGTATAAACTCTGCATTTTTCTTCAAAGAACTCGAAGCCTTTATTATATACTTTCATTTATATAGAACACATTATATACTGTATTTATAATATATTACTTATACTACTTATAACATTTATACTAATTATACTAATGATAATGTTTATACTGATTATTTTAAGTATGTCCTTAATTCCACTAATACTTATTATTCATCCAATATATAGAATACATAGTATACTGTGAATACAGAGTATACTGCTGGTACATCTATTTAAGATATATGATCTACATAGCCAAGAAAGTCTGACTTAGGGTTGTACAGTGAAGATCCTATGACAAAATTATCACTCATAGATCATGTGTTTCAGGTCTAACATTTCTCCTCTACTTAGTATATATATATCACACATATAATTACAAAGAACTTAACAGTAGAGTTTAAATAGAAGTTCTAGAAATTTTTAAGAAATGACTTTGATCAGGAGCACATAGTTAAGAAGTTAAGATCATTTAAGCTTTTCTTCACTTCACAGATACATATTTTTTTTTTTTTAACTTTTATCGCAGCTCTTTAATCCATAAACACTTTATCTTTTTTGCACAAATTTTATTTTTTGCCAGATCAGGCTTTATTATTACAGCTTACAGGCAAGTTCACCTCACTTCTTGCCTCAAGACTTTAGCTTTGATATCAGGTTTCTTTAGTTCATCTCACAGTTACTACCAAAATAATACTATTGAATTGGCATTGGCATTTTAGTCGCTTCTCAAACAGATATATCATGTAACCTATAAACAGCTTAGTCGAAGAGAGGCAGTTAGATTTGATGAGTGATATGTTTATGATCATAGATTTTACAAGGTAGTGAAGGTCAGAGAATTATAAAGGTCAAACTTTATTAAAAGCATAAACTCTGCATTATTTCTTCAGAAGGCTCAAAGCCTTTATTATATATGTTCATTTATATAAAACATGTTATATACTGTATTCATGATATATCATTTATACTACTTATAACATTTATACTAATTATACTAATGATAATATTTATACTAATTATTTTAAGTATGCTCTTGATTTTACTAATACTTATTATTCATCCAATATATAGAATATATAGTATACTGTGAATACAGAGTATATTGCTAGTATATCTATTTAAGTTATATGATCTATATAGCTGAGAGAACATGACTTAGAGTCATACAATAAAGATTCTACAACAAAATCGTCACTCGTAGATCATATGTTTCAGGTCTAACAATAGTATATACAATATATAACTATATAGTATATATATAATATATAAACTATTTATATACAAGATTTTGTAAAGAATAATTTTAATTAGTATACAAAAGGCAGTTTTATAAAAAAAACTTTTAAGATATAAACAGTTTTATAATTTGTTTAAAATATTTTAAAAAAATTTTTACATATTGTGTTATATATAATATATCTCTAAATAAGACTCAAAAGACTTTTTGTTAGTTATTTACTTACTCTACAAACTATTAACAAAAGTTTATTCTTATAAAGTTAACTTGTATTCTAGCATATACTTTATAGCATATTTCTAGTTTTTTAGTATAATTTACTTTGTTTTCAAATTTTTAATCAAAATAGCTATAACTTGTTTCTAATATATTAAGTCTGATCTAATATTTTTTTATCTAGTTTGAATCTGGCAGTCTAATTACTGTAAAACATTATATAAAAGACTCTTTTTGATAGTAGATCTATTATGTATTATACCTGGATCTATTATGCAGATCAAATTTTTGTAAAATGTATAAGACCCTGGTCTATAAATAGATCATAAATAGTAAAAGACCCAGATCTATAATTAGTGTAAATATTAGAAAACCTGAGTATGATATTTAGAATATATATGATAAAAAAAATAAAAAAATAAATCATTGCTATAGTATACTAGAAAAATGCATAGCATTATAAGTCTGAAGCATATTATATGATGCTTATTATTATCTAAGTGCAACATTAAAATTACAAATTTGAAAACATAATAATACTGAATCTGTTATTATACTTTAGACAATAATGCTATATATATAAATTAAATTTATTCACTCCAATATTGTACATTTTAGATGTCTCAAGTTTTTTGATATTCTAACACTTAACTTATAAATCTATTCATCTATTTGCAAACTTAATTTTGAACTGTTTTAATTAATAGTTTAAATTAGGTTACTAAGCTTATAATAACATTTTATATTTTCAGTTTAAAATATTTAAATCTGCAAGTAATTCTTTGTATTTACACATTATAAGTTTCTTTGTATCTCATAATAAAAATATATAGAGTTTTATTTAATTGTTCAGTACAAATAAATAATTCAGAAAAATATATAGGCTTTATTTCTTAATATACATAAATTAGCAAGTTTAATTTCTAATGCTTTATTTAAATTAAATTTATATATATCTATTATGCAGCAAGTTATTCTGTTTATTTATAACAGTGATTAATAAATTGTTAAAGCTTCAAGAGCTTTTAATATCTGTCCATTGTGAAACAAATTATCAGCAAATGTTTAATACCAGCACATTATTTTAATAAATTGTAAATTCAATTATTTACATATTAGTCTGATACAATATTTTTTGGTTTTCTATAGTTAAGATCCATATCTCTAAAATTATAGACTAGAAAGTCTTAATCCTACAAATTAATATATTTAACCATCTCATCATTATAATATGAGTCTTCATCATAATTTTCTTGGTCATTACCATTACCATTATTATTGTCACTACTATCATCTTTATTATCATCATTTTTATTGCTATCATTTTTATTATCATTATTTTTATTACCATTATTTTCATTACTATAGCTATTATTATTATTGGCATCACTATTATCATTATCACTATTATTATTTTAGGTCAAATCAATAATACTTTTATCATTACTTTTATTATCTTTATCAAAATATATATATTTACCTAAATTGTAAATAGACAGTCATTAAATATATAAAAATTATGAATAAACTAGAAATGTTATAGTTTCAAATTAGTCTAAGCAGATTTTAAGATTTTGAAATCTTTTTTTTTTTTTGTAAGCTACTAATTAAAGTTATTTAAAACAAAATTTTAATAGTACTTACTTATTGAGAAATAGTTGTAAAGCTTCTTAAAAATTCAAAAATGTCTAAAATATAAATTTTTAAAACTGAACTTTAAAAACCAGTTTTAAATATTATATTCTAGAAATTTTTGAATTTTTAAGAAGCTTTGCCACTATTTCTCAATAAGTAAGTATTATTAAAATTTTGTTTTAAATAACTTTAATTAGTGGCTTATAAAAAAAATGGTCTCAAAATCTTAAAATTTATTTAGGATTAATAAGACTAATTTGAAACTATAATACCTCTAGAATAAACAAATATTTGTTCAAGGATTTTTTTTTATTAGACTATGTAAGCAAATATTCTGATATTTACTATTTTTATTTTGAGACTCTAAGTTATTAACTCAATCATAATTAAATACTAAATTCTCTTTAGTCCTATCTTAAGCAGTAGAAATGCTACAACATTTGAACAAACATTTAATAAGAGCAGAATCAACTTGATTTCATGCTTTTAATACCCATTCAGCTACCAAATTATAAGCAGGTTGTTGAATACAACCTGTATGGATTAGTTTTTTAATTTCTTCTCCTATCTATTCAAGATAAAATTTGTGATACTTAAATAAATTAAATAATTAAATTTATGAAATAATAATTATATAAATTCAATAATATTGTTCTTAACCTACCTTCAAAAAAATTATTATTTTTGATTATAAGATATTAAGATATACAAAAAAAAGAATGCATATTCATTTAATAAAGCAATTTCAAAAACCTTATTATATAATCATTAATTAATAGTTGCTTATATTACACATTCTACTATAGCTAATATTAATATTTTATATAATTATTTGGTAATTTTTTTAAGAAATAGAGTCAAAATATTTGGCTATTTAAATATATTATTATTTTTTTTTAAAAAAAGTATTGTTTACCTTTTCTTTAAAGAACTTATTAATATATATGTCCAATAGTTACAACTTTTTTATAAGTTCTTTTGAAATAACTGCCATGTTAGTATTTTTTTTATTAAATCAATTTTTAACTGGGTCTGTAAGATAACTACTAAATGCATCCAAAACTAAGAGTAAATGAGGGTTGATAAACAAAGAAGCTCATCAGTTCTATATATTCTCAATCCAAAAAATCATTTCATCACTATTTATATATTTATTTGGATTGGTTCATATAATAATACCTAATAGAAATACTTGTTATGACATATTCACTAATTTAAAAAGTATCATAGAAAGCAATTTGGTTTCATTAGCTAAACAACTTAAAACAACTGTGAAGTTAAACTTTTCATAACTAGCTGTACAGATTCCAACAGTATTAGCACTAGTTTCTTCAATTGTATAATTACTGAGCATGTTAAATGCTAATGAAGTTTTATTATATTACCAATAAGTGAAAGAAGATACTTGTAGTGCATGCAATAATATAATATATAGCTTAAAAATTCATCTTTTTTAGGTTTCAAGTCTTCTAGTAATTTTTATGCTACAGTTGTTCAGTGCTGGTTGCTAAATTTATTATAATGCATAAAACTATTAATTCACTTGTCACTCTATTTGCACTCATTGATCATTGGATAAAGCAAAAGAAAACATAGTTGCTTTGCAAGTTAACTAGCTTTAGTTCTAATCATATAATGAGACATGATCTTTTGTTATGAATGTAAAGATTTAACACAAGTTTTAAGATCAGCTTCTAAAAGTGAATACTTAGCATACCTACTAATATTTAACCATCTAACACAAGATGGTATATTTGTTAATTCTTTTTTTTTTATATTCATTCTAGCCATAATTTTCAAGGTATATAATAATCACTAATTTTTTATAAGCATTTCAACTTCTCTTTTTTTTTGAGTAATATTTGCTTAGGATTTTAAAATTGTTCTTTTATATTCTATTTTTTTGATATTTAAATATGTATTATTTCATATTAATATCTTCATATTAATTTTAATAAACTTTTGTTTATTACCTTTTTGCTAAAAAGAAAAAAAAACAAAACACAAAGAAATGTAAAACATAATAAATTTATTATATATAAAGAATGGTAATATAAATTTTATATATGCTAATTATGCTAATAAGACAACTATACTATAGTGATAGTCTTATGAAGTTACTTAAGCACAGGAACAAATAATTGCTTAATATATAAGATTTTTTAAAGATTGATAAATTAAAAAAAATTGAAATAACCAAATAATTCTGTAAAATGTTCATTAATTTTTGATTGCTATATTACAATAATGATAACTTTAAATATATTTGTGTTTATTAGATTTGTAAGAGTTTTTTATAATGCTGCAGACTTTAATTATTTATTTTTATTAGTCTTTAACACAGGTTCTTTTATCTATTTATTTTTTTTTTAAAAAAAAAAAATAATAATAATATAGTAATAATAAAAGAGTTGTTTTTTTGTAATCAAACTTGTAGCCTTTACATATTGCCTTTGAACTAGTTAGACCACTAGTTTAAATTTAACTTGGATAACATCAAATTTGTTTCTACTCTTTGTTATATCATATATAATATGGTTTGATTAAAAAAAAAACCCTGTAATTTACATCAAAAAAAACTTTTTATAACTAAAGTATAGTGATATATAATTAGATAGTTATCTACTTATACTAGTATGTTATATATTTATAATGTCTGCATATTTATTTATGATACATAATACATTAGAATGTGCAATATATGTATAACTTACAAGAATTTATTATCAGATAATATGTATACAAAGATTATAAAAGATTTAATTATATGTATAACTCTTAAACCAGATATTCCAAATCCAAATTTTGCACAACATAATAGGACTACTAATATACTAATTAATCAAAACCTATATAAGGTAGCGAAAACTAGTATTCCAAAAATTGATTCATTCATATTCTAATTATTTTTTTTTAACAATTTATACATCAAATGATTAGTTTAATATAATTAAACAAAATTACAGTTTAAAATTTTGTAATATTGTTCAAACCAAAAAAAAACAAAAAATATAAATATAAATAAAATTTTGATTTTGTAATTTTGTTTAATTATATTAAATTAATCATTTAAAATATAAATTGTTAGAAAAAAATAGTTGGTATATGAGATAAACAATTTTTTGAACACTAGTCTTTATTAGTAAATTTATTGATTTTGCTGATCTAGCATAAAATCTGTATTATTAATTTTTACTATTATACTTTATATAGGTTTTATTAATTAGTATATTAGCAGCTTTAATGTCTCAAAGAACAAAGTATAAAGCCAAATAAAATTTTCTTTATAAAAATTATTGGTTACTTAAAATTTGTTAAGTAACTTTAAATAAAAAAAATGCATTTTGCATATTTAAAAAAGTAAAGTACAGTTTTATTTTTAAAATATTTAATTTATATAATACTGTATATTGCATGTCTTAATAATACATATACTACTTTTTTTTTTTTTTTTTTTTTTTGCTAAGACCATACTTGTGGTGATACTTTATTGACTTTTATATCAGGTTAGTTATTACAACTATTTTT